GCCATTGTTTTTAAGAGTTGGATGTACGAGGCGGTACTTCAACGGATCATCGCTCGGCGAAAAGAAATAAATGTAAGCAAAGACACGCCTGCAGTGATTATTATTGACAATTACAAAGGTTGGATTGACACTAAGCTTGTTAATATATTCAAAGAGAACTCCGTTTTCTTTCATTTCATTGAACCACATTCCTCAAGCTATATACAACCAAGTTTAGTCTGTTTATATGAAAAAAAAATTGAACCCAATTCAAAACATGAGGACCTGAAGAAAAGAAAGCGGAAAGGTGTGAACGATAAAACAAGTCTTCTAAGCAATCCAGAGAAAAAAGATGACCTTGAAAAGATTCTGTGCACTTGGAGAAAACAAATCAAAGGTCTGAACGAGAAGTACGTAAAGAAAGAGAGCACTGAAGAAGACAAGGAAGATCGAGGAAAAATTGTATGGGATACAATTTACAAAACGTTTCAGGAAATTCAGAGAAGGGCAACAACAGACAACATCATTTTGGCATTCAATAAATGTGGGTTTTATAACGTTGCAAGTGGGAAAGTGTTGAAGACGTATGTTGAGGTTGAAAAAAACAAGGAAGTCTATCAAGAAATCCAAGGCAGTGAGTTGGAAGAGATCTGTAAGAATGTCAAACTACCAGAGCAACATTGCGAAAGTATTAGAGCAAGAGAACCAAAGAAATCAACACTCATGAAATTGGAGGAAATTATTATGAACACAAATGGCGTGTCACCACAATAAGTGTTGTCAATTTATTCTTTTGTTTTTAGGATTCCATGCATCATATAGGGTTGTTCAATTCAAATGATCACCTTTTTCTTCAACCTCACCCAAAACGACAACTTTGTCATCGTCCACATTACAATTCCTTCTTACAAACAATTTGGAAATGGGGACGTTGCAATCAACCGAAATCAATTGTGTATCATTCACACCCTTAATTCCTGTCTCTCACATTTAACAACGAAATAGCAAAAGATGGCTCTGAAAAGGCGGAAATTGATCGTCTTGACTGCAAACTTCATGTCTATATACCTAAAACAACTAAAGGAAAGGTCTTCCCTGACTTGGATGTTTTGCCACTTTTTCTTACAAAAAGAAAGTTTTGAGCCAGGTGGAAGTGACTGATAAAAACACGAACTTTGAACCCCTCCAAAATGAGTCTGAAAAAACTCAGGAAACTTTTGGAGGGCAGGAGGAAATGCTTCGCAATTTTACTGCCGAAGATTTGCAAAAAATGAAAGAGATAGAGGCCAAAAGGGTGGAAAAAATGAAAAGGCAAAAAAAGAGGAACCCCACGAAAACCCGACTTTTTCGATCGAAACGATTTGATTCTTGGGGAAGACCAGATAATCAGAGACAGAGATGAATCAATCAAAATGACGATTGGGAAGTATGGATTCAATTCGAGTCACTCCGGCGTTTTTATCGATTTAAATCAATCAGCAGCGGAAATTGTAATGGTAAACAACCCCGAAACTGCAACACAATATAATCGTCATAACCAGCGCGTCGAAGATGAAAACAAAAATTTTGACAGAGATTGATACATTTCAGACACTTTTGAATGGGAATATATGGATGATGTCATAAGCAACAACTCGTTTGTATGGAAGACAACTGAATGGATGGATGAAGAAAAATGAAGCAAACAAAACACCACATTTGGACGTAGCTGTGGAGGATGGTGAACAAAAGCAACTTTTCAGAGATTTGTTCAAATCGTATTTGGTTTTGTGTATGATCAAATAGTTATGGGAGACACCACAGTTGAATCTGCGTGGACTATTGCGACTTTAGCCCCCGTACTTTCATATCTTGATGTTTGTTTACTTTGCACTGTTTATTGAAATAAATATTGACGAAAAGGAAATTGAAACAGCAAACGAAGTGGTGAGTGCTTGTGTAAGACGGGGAGTTACATATCCAGTGGTAAGAAATTATGACCTTGCAAAAAAGGCTATTGAAGAAACGCTTTCAATTTTCGAGGGTGGAAAGTCGACTTTGGTTCGAATGGTGCTTCGGATTCACAGAATTTTCAAGTTGGACGAATTGAAGCACTACCTTTGCTTTATTTTTTGGACGAGTTCACAGTCTTGGCACCTAAGTTTCGTGATGACATTCGATTTGAAGTAACAAAGGAATTACGAAACGCATTTGATACAATCACAAAAGATGGGTTGGGACTTTTACTTTTTGAGGCTGAACAGGTTTGTATTGACAACATGAATTCAATGGATGAAGCACCAAATGAAGTTAAAGAAAACTTCCTGAATTGATTGTTTTTTGAGTTTATTTACTTTGAGCTCAAATATAATGTTTTAACACTTTATAAAAGTATCAAATAATGTTTTTTTTTTCAAGAACTCTAAACAAAATATTCCAATCACCGAAGATTTATCAGTAAAACAACAGAGTTTAGTCGCAAATCTTGCTAATGTGATTTACTCTACAACCAAATTTCTCAAGAAGATATCCAACTTAGAGAAACAAAATCGAAAATCGAATTACTTCAAGAGGAAGCATCTAAAAATCAATTTTTCGATATAAACACTTCGCAAGAAATGAATCAACTCATTGCATATCTTAACGATCTCATTACTAAGGTTGCTTCTCTTGAAGCGATGGTTTAATTTGGGTTGTTGTTTATTTTATTTTTATTATATCACACAAAAACATCATTTGCAAAATAAGACCAAACCACATAACACAAGTAAATTACTACAAGACAAGTTCAAATAATAAACTCACAACAATACTTCGACGTTATGTTGTGTGGAATTAAAGTGTGTGGACTGTGTTTCATGTGATGTAAAGAAAAAGTCAATTGTTGGTAAAGTTACGGGAGAAAGATTTGAAGACCACTCTGCAGAGTCAAAAAATTTTCTGTTCTTCTTTTTCGTCATCTTGAGAAGCCCAAAACTTTTCTTTGTGTCAGACATCAATACTGGTTTTTTAGTTCCACATACCTTTGTCCATCCATACATTTCGATTACATTATATCAGGTGATGTTTTTCTTTATATAAAAAATATACTCATCTCTTGTTCTTGACCCTGATCACCCATTTCTTTGGCCTACCATTACTTAATTCTTATATTTTTTCTTTGATTTAATTTGAAAGTTTCAATCATTTGGTTGAATACTTTTTAATATTTTTTCTCCTAAATCAACCAAACTTCAATCCCTCTTTTTAAAAAAGAACATAACCCCCACCTTTGATTTTTTTCCGAGTACCACAAGTTGTGAGTTGCAAACTATTTGTTTTTTTCAAACCAAAACAAAAAACAATAGTGAAACATTGTTTCTCATTGTTGAGTTGAACTAAAGATTTACTATATTTGATGATTTATTTTACTATTTTTGGACTTTTTCTGGAAAACTTTTTTTGGTTTATTTACTAAAGTCTGTCTTAAAGCTTTGCGGCTTGACAAAATAATAATAAAATATGTTTAAAAAAAATGGGAATTAAGTAAAAAGATGTAAAAATTGTTTTGATATTTAAGTCCCTGTTTAAGATTTTGAAACAAAAATGAAAAAAGTTTCAATATGTTCTGAAGCTTGTTAGTTTATAGTGTTGTGAAACAATAATAAAAAACATTAGATGTTATACTTGACAATCCACCCATCAACTTGACTTGGAGGAATCCGCAATTTGAAGACAAGTTTGACAAAGGCAAACTTTTCAAACCCCGCAATCTTCCCAACAGGGTTTTTAAGTATCAAGTCGATTGACATCAGATCTCTCTCTGTTTTGAGTACTTCGTCCTTCGCAAGCCAAAAGATAGCCGAAGCAACACTGAGCGTTATCTGCCACCCCTCCACCATCACCAAATCCAACACCCACATAGAAAGGTCTCCATTAAAGACTCGGCAAAACCACAGTGCGTAGAATTCAAGAAAGTGTGGGTACAAGGTGTCATACCCTCCAAGTTTTTTCACAATTTCATATATCTCTTTGTGGTACTTCTTCATGACAAGCATCTCCAACCCAATGAATTTCTTGACACCCGGAAAATTGCGGAGAAGCATCTGCCGCAGTCCAAATTTTTCACACTCAAAGGTTGCCACACCCGCCCAAAACATGTCTTCTTCTTTTTCAAACACTAACACAAAGAACCCATACAAATCGGCCTCTCCCTGGACATACCCTACTTCTTTGTCGCGATTTGCTAAAGCTCGGAGAACAAGAAAAAGCTTTTTCTGCCCTTCGGAAAATTTGCACTTAAACTTGATGTTGTTTTGGTGTGCTCGCGTGACATCCTTGTGGATTTGATCATCCTCTTCGTCTCCCAATTTTGCGGATGCAAACGTTCTAAACGTATCAGAGTCATCTTTTTTCATGTCTTCAATATGAAGCATTGCACGCCACAGGCTTTGCCGAACACTGATTGGAACACCTTTGTAAAGTCGTAGAATCATCTTTTTGTGCATTTTCTGCTTCTCGTTGTAGTACGAGATCATTGTCTTCCACTTTTCAACTCGCTCCAATGAGTTTAAGTAGTCCTCTTTCTCTTTTGAAGGCGTGCTTGTAATCTCATACCCCAAATTGTCTGTCTTCACCAACACAGAAACACGACTTTTCCCCGTCAACACGCGCATCCGTGCCTGAGTCTTACACACAGTCTCCGCTTCATCATACACAACTCCTACATTCTTCAACGAAGACATTGCCAAAAAATGATCTACAACCTCGCTGATACCAACTTCGACCGCATAATGTATAGGTTTATGATTTTGGTTGTCTAACGAATCTACCAGAATTTTGTCCTTTGCGATATCACGAATAAAACTAATCGTGTCGATGTTATACTTCTCCGTCTGTCCATAGTAATGCAAGCAATTTCTTCCATTATTATCCTCTACTTCATTAATTTATGCTCGTAAATATGCAACATTGAATAAACAAGCAAACTTAACTTCGTGTCGGGTTTGTATTTCAATAGAATTTCTATTTGCTTTGGGTCGTTTTTCTTGAGCGCAAACATTAGCGCAGTTGTCCCATTTGTATTTGCAGAATTCACATCAGCACCCTTTTCAAGCAATTTATCCATCACTTCTAAATTGTTCATAATAACAGCCAAAAGAAGCGGTGATTCCCCTTTTTCGTTCTTCTGATCAAGCTCTTCTTTACTCAATTTTCCTGATATAAAAATTGCAACTTCAGTTTTTTGTGTTGCGATTGCGAGGTGAAGCGCAGTATCCCCGTTTATATTTTTCTTTTCTAAATCTGCTCCAACAATCACAAGTTGTTTCACCAACGGTAAGTTTCCAGAAATCGAGGCAGACTGCAAAACTGTCTGTCCATCCAAGGGACTAGCCCAGTTGATTTTTGAGTTTTTCTCGGAAACGTTTGGAGGAAGTAATTCTTCATTAAATATTGATTGGTCCGTCGTTGTCACGGCAAACGCGAAAATCACAGGTACCTTTTCAATAATATCATTTCCGTTGACAGTTCTCTCGACACGGTTTGTGATCTCAAAATCGTCTGAAGAAGAATCATCCGAATTGTAAGAAGTAACACTTTCATTAAAAGATTGATGCCTCTCGACTAGAACATTTTGTGGTGCTGTTTTTACTGTTGATTCTGAAGAATACGCATTGAGTGGATTCTCCATTCTTTTTCAAGTTATTTTGCTTTTCGAGCCAATTTGGAGTTGTTGCTTTTAAAAAAATCAAATTGAATGCAATATATCTATAAAGTATTTATAATGAATAATAATTATACTAAAAGTTTCATTATTAAAATGTAAAATAAAAAAATAATAAACTAAAAAATATTATTACATTTATATAAATATAAATGTAGATGTAATAGAGTTTGTACATAGATTATTGTGGATGAAACTATGTGAAAACACAAAACAAATTATAAATATAAAGTGTTTTTATCCGAAAACAGTATTAATATCATTTTCATAGGAAGTGCAAAAGACAAGAAATGATTTATTGTGTAAATAAATATAAGTTTATTGTAAAATGTACACACACGATATTGCGCTTCAACAAATTGTATCGGATTGATCAAATTTGCTTTCACATAACTCAAAAAACGATTCATATAACCTTACACATTAAATAACTTTGTTAATAGTTATTTTTTAATTATTTTTTAGTTTTTTTTTATATTCAAATGTTTTTAATTTACGTGAATAATAAATAATAATTTCTAATTTAAAAAAAACAAAGATTTCCAAATTTACAATCCTTATTATACACGTCACCGGTTTATAAATTCGTACGTTATAATAACACATTTTCGACAATATGTTTTTTAGAAACGCCTGAAAAAAAACACTTTACAAAAAATAGTTATTATTTTTTTCCCGCAAATTAGGTCATAAAACCTTATTTATTAGAAAATGTTTTAATTATCTTAGAAATAAAAATATGGTTTGTTTATTTAAAAAATATAGTTGCTATAAGCCTCTTTCAAATCGTCTTTGTTCCTAAATAAATAAAAATCACTTTTAGCGAATGTCGAGCAAAATAACATGTTCACTTCCCAAAAACATAGCAATTCTCGCTGATTTTTTCATTGATATGAACAACAAAAAAAGTCGATGTTACTTCGCCTTACGATAATCGAGGCGCAAAATTTACCCGCAGCAGACTGCTTTTCAAAGAAGAGTGACCCTTATACAAAGGTGACAATCAACAAGGAAATCCACCAAACCAAAATCAAAAAAGAACATTAGACCCCAAATGGCATGAAGAACTCCGGTTCATGATCGATCCACACAATCTACCGTCTATCCTCTTCGAGATCTACGACTGGGATAGATTCAAAACCGACGACTTTCTCGGTCACGCATCGTTGGCACTCAAACAACCAATTAAGGGTGATCTGTGGTTAAATTATCAGTTCAAGGTAAGCTCCACATAACCTTGACACACTCAAAACACCCATTCAGTGTTTGTACACCCAATTCACGCCAGGATTGGATGGTATAGCACTCAAAGCACTTTCTCAAAAACCAAACCTGACAGAATCGCAAGAATTCAAGCCGTCATCTTTTATGACTAATTTTAACCTCGAAAAGTTCGAAAAGTCCGAGATCTCGCGGCATGTTCAGACACCATTTTTCCCAAGAAACGAAAACGAGACGTGTTCCTATTACGCCAAGTTGTGTGGCTACTTTGTACCATACCGTCCCGGTGCTTTTCCGTCAGTCCCAGAATGAACCTCTGTGTTATTTATTGTATTTTTTATTCACCAAATTGATTTTCATTCAAATCAATCTAATTAATAAAATTAGAGGCAGTCGGTAAACAATATTATAGATAGAGTACTTGATACAACGTTGTTATTTAGAGTCAATCTAACAATGTTGTCTTTTTCAAACAATATCCTCTTAGTCTTATATTTTTGAATTTACAAAATATTTTTGCAAAAAGTTCAATCATAAACAAAATCGTTCTTTGTTTACCATTTATTTATTAATTTTAGAGTAAATGAGAAAAAAATCTATTTTTCTTCAATAATATTATTAAATTTTTCAATTGAGAAATAATTTCTTAATGATTAATTTTTTAATCTGACTTGAGATGCCATGCAACTCCATGTATTCACTTGTGTTGATTCTGACGTCGTTGTTCTCGTCGTAAAACAACTTATCTGCAAGTTCATTTGCAAGCTTCAACACCACTTGGTTCAAGGAACATGAATGACCCAATTGAATGTTTGTCTGATCAAAGACAACTTCTGCTTCTCAAAATATTTCCAACAACTCTTTTGTACAAGAGAGTTGACTCCTGAAACTCGTCCCCAAGTTTCAGGAGTCTTGTCTTCTCGCTCTGTGTCATTCTGCTCACTAAGATGCCTGCCCGTTTGATCTACATTTTCTAATAACTGTGGGTCATTAGTAACAACGTTGATGTCTTTTTTGTTTAGTTTTTCAATTCTGCGTAACCTCAAGATCTCTTGTTGTCTGGTTCAGTTCTCTCTGCCATCTTCTCTGCTGTAGCTGTGTGTCTTTTCTTTCCAAGTTTTTGATTTCCTCTGGCTGTGAGTTCTTCTATGTGAAGAGTTGCTGACGCCACCAAATTGGTTACATTTTTGCGCGAGTGTAGCATTGATGTATGTCTTTGACAGCGACGAAGCTGCAACAAAAGAATGTCTACGATTGTCAGCCAATAGTGGCTTTCTCCTGTTGCACTGGCATACAAGACAATGTGGATTTCATTTATGAACAGAATAATTTGGATCTTCGACTCTTTCACCTCATTAGAAACAGCATTAAGTCACTCCTCAAACAGTCTTTTGTACTTCCATCAGCAATCAGTGCACCCATATCAAGTGCAATGACTCTGCAAGTTCGAAGAAACAATATTTTACTTCTGGCTGCCCCAAACATTCGACAACAGTTGTTTTACTAAAACCAAGTTCAACAATCGATGGTAAAAAAACTATTTTTATTCGTTAATAAAACAAATTAGATGTGGTTTTGTTTGAATTTTTTAATTATTTATTGAAAAGTATTTTTTTAATTTAATACTCCAAATAAAGAATAACAATTTTTACTATATTTTTTTTAGTTTCAAATGCAATTATTATCATTTTTGGTGACGTATTTTTAATTGTTTTTAGCACTAAAATAATGTATTAATATTTAAATTAATAAATTATTATTAAGGTTAAAGATTTTCACAATATGGTCTCATCGCTTGTAACAATGAATTATACATTAATCTATAATTTATTAAAAATGTTTACAAAAAACGAAATTTTCAATATTTAAAGACCGAATAACTGAGAATATCAAAATGGGTGGACTTTCTGGTTATCACATCATGATAGTTTCGAAGTACCTCGAGACTATCAACGACTTTATTAACTTGGAGTTAGTGTGCAAGAAGTTTAGAGGCAATATGGAGAAGTTCCACTTCAACCCGATTCCGTTAAATTCAAAAACATTTGGATACTTCCCAAACATCGAGACACTTCACTTGTGGGATGTAGAAGATGAGAATTTTGGCAATGGATTTATTTCGATCAACACCGAAGAAAAAGTAGAGTGTGAAAATAAAGGTGTTTTGAAGAGAGAATTCTATCGAATCATTGTGTGGTTTTATGTTGGCTTTGAAATTGTTGACAGAAACAAAAGTCGAAACATCGAGTTTAAGGATGTTACTTACACTAAAAATGATAGAAAGAAATTTGGTAATAACATACCATCTAGTGTAAAATCAATTGGTGATTGGTGTTTCTATGAGTGTAGTAGTTTGAGTAGTGTTACAATACCATCAAGTGTAACATCGATTGGTGATAGTTGTTTCCAAGGATGTTGTTGTTTAAGCAGTATTACAATACCATCGAGTGTTATATCGATTGGTGTTGGTTGTTTCTATGAGTGTAGTAGTTTGAGTAGTATTACAATACCATCGAGGTGTGACATCAATTGGTGATTATTGTTTTTATAAATGCAGTCGTTTGAGTAGTGTTACAATACCATCAAGTGTAAAATCAATTTGTGATCATTGTTTCAATAGATGCAGTAGTTTGAGTAGTGTTACAATACCATCGAGTGTAACATCGATTGGTGATAGTTGTTTCCAAGGATGTTGTTGTTTAAGCAGTATTACAATACCATCAAGTGTTATATCAATTGGTAGTAATTGTTTCCCATCAAATACAGTAGTTCATCAAAATTAATTTAATTGTTACTTAATATTTAATGTTTATTATTATTTAAATTTAATTAAATTAAAAATTGTTATAAATTTTTATTTGTTATATAATTATTTGTTAAAAATAAAAAAGTTGAAAAAATCAATTTTAATTATTTAACGAAATTGATTTTATCAATTTATTCAATTTCGTTAATATTTATTTAGAAAAGAATACATAGAAGGTCTAAAGCCGGCCCCCCTCCCCCACCCACCTCCTGGGAACAGAGATTACTTAAATGTAAGATTGTGTAAAATGGTGAGTATATACCACGTCATCATAAAAATAATAATAAGTTAATATAATAGAATTAAGTGATATAAAGTCAAAATAAATAAGTTATTAATTAATAATATGAAAATAGAGATATTTGTAATTGTAGAAATTTATTCATTTTTTAAGTAAGAAAAAATTTGGCTTTCATTTTGTACAGCCATGACAAGGACCCCTTAATGTTCTATAAATAGAACATAATAAGATAATTAATTAAGAATGATAATTCAAGCAATCAAATATTTTCAATAAAAAGTTAAGGAGTTGCTTTTTGCAAGGACATTTTCACCTTTTAAAGAGTTCTACAACAAAGCTAATTTGATTGTTGTTATGTTGTAAATGCTTCAAAACTCGAGATAGTTTTATATTTGATTGATGAGTGTACAAATAAGATATAAAATTATACTGAAAAATCAATCAAAGAACAAATTGGTGAACTCAAAGTGTTTTTGATATGGCAGAAGCTATTAAAAATACTCAACCAAAGCTCAAAAAACAAAAAGTTAATGTTTGATCAAGTACAATTGATTGTGTTGGATCACTTTGTTGGCAACTCGATTGATAATGATGTTTCCAAAAATTCCTCTGTGTATTTTCATTGATAAATTATAATGAAATCAATTTTAGTTTTAAAGTTAGTTATTTAAATTAAATTTGAAAAAACAAAATACCAAGACATTAGAACAATTATCCTCAACAAACTAACACTTTTAAAAACCTTGTATATTCAAATAAGTGATTATAAATCTTTAAATGAATCTTTCAAAAAGATATAAATAGGGAGAATAAAACTTATATTAAAAAAATGTAATTTGTTTTATTACGAAACAAACAACAGATCTTATATTATTATTAGTAGTAGTACAATACAACAAACGAAACATTTTTGTTGACAAAGTTGTATTTATATATTTTTAAAGTGGTCCAATTGATATACAACAAAGTTGGCAATACAAGATAAACTTTTGGAAAATTCCTTAACGTTGTTATTTAAGTTGTTGTAAACTAGTCTATATTGGCGAGATAATTACAAACATTCCCAAACACCTTAAGATGACTGACGGTTTCGTTTTATACATGAAGTTTGAAGTAGTTTATGTATTCATTTCTCTTTGTATTTTAATAGAATATTCTATGATATCCACACACTTACAAGTGATAATCAACACGTTCTTATTTTACAAATCTTTGTGTGTATTTAGTTAAAGTCGTCTGCTTACCATGTTATAATATATATTGACTTTCATTGGCAATTAGCATCTAAGAGTATTTTTCCATATGAGTAAAATATAATTCAAGTGACACAGTTAGATTTATATAAACTTCTTAAAACATCATTGTTCTTCACTAACAACATTGGAGAGGATTCTGGGAATTTGGTTAGGCAATCACTTTTACTTAAAATTGAATTGATCCGAGTTGCCGTTTTGTGGCACAAGTCTTATCATTAGAAGAGGAAACATAGTTTTGTATTAACCACAACTTCGACGTTTTGTTATTGGTATCACAACCACCTTAAGAATATTTTGAAAATAGTCGAAACAGAATGATAAGTCCTTTTCAATTGTATAAAAATAATTAAAATGAATACTATTTTCTTTTTGCTTTCAAACGAAGAATGAGATGGTGACAAACAATGACACTGAAATCAAAAATGCTAAAATAATACAATTTAAAATCTACAAACAAAGTAACATAGTAATCAATTCAGTCTCCATCTTGGAGTTTCTACAAGTTTCCATTATAACAATGGAATTATGATATTCAAAAGTTGTAGTACACAAGACGTACAAAGCAGAATACATAAACAGCATAACACAAATTAAAAATTTTTACACAGTCTTCAACATCATCACTTCAAAACAACGTCCACACAAGTTAACAATTGTCAGGTCAAGTAAAGTCGAGTACATATTATGTCTGAAATTGCACGAAGATTTGAAACAATACAAAAAGTTGTATTTTTTTGACTTGTTGACGTTTTGTTAGTCATCAAATTTATGGGCACCAACACATTATTTGGATATTCCACGTTATCGAGTTATTCCATTGAGATCAATGAAAATTTTGATACAATACCATTGTCTGACACACAACATTTGTCAATTAATAAGTGTGGAGAGATTAGAATAAAAATGTTACCATTTAAAATGGAAATTCATTTTGATGATAGAATGGACTTACAGATAGTCGAAATATTAGAAATGTTTTAAGAATTTTTTGAAATGAATTTGGTAATCATTTTGAGGCTCGAGATTGTTTCTTCAAGTGTGAAAAATAAACTACAAACAAATTTCAGACAAAGTGTTGCGCTAATGTCAATGGTTGAAAACATTTTGGGAAATAAATACTGATACTCACAAAGTCTAATGTAACAATAACCAACATGTTGTTGTTGGTATTAAATATCTCGAATATTTTAAAGTATTAGCATAACTGGTAAAGTTCCCCAAATAAACACAGTATAGTTTGATAACGAATGTGATGTATTCAATGTAATGAAAAAAACATTAATAATTTAATGTGAGTGTGTGATTGAAAACTTACAAATTAAATCCACATTATACAGTGTTAACTTTGTGTATAATTTATTTTTAATTGAAATAGCTTTGATATTTTAAATTGTATTTCTATCTTTTACTTAAATTGTTTATTTAGCAATTTAAATAAATTAAAATTAATAAATATAGTTTTTATTAATAATTATTCTTAGTATTAATAATGTTTTTTCATATACTAACACCACGTTTTAATTTTGGTCCTATTTAACCCATTTTTAACGTTTTCATACAACACCAACACAATATTAAAAATGTGTTATTAGCGAAGAAACAAATGGATTTGAATACTGCCCAATGAAATATAGAGTTTGATAATAAATGAGAATGGGCACTTGGAAAATATGGCAAACATGTCAAGTGGTATTTTGAATAAAAAACAAGAAAACACTTCAATTTCAATATATATTTTTCTGAATGATATAACATTAAAATGGTTTATTTATTACAAATTTATAATTTTTGAAACCATATTATAAAATCAAATTACCAATCTTGTTTAATCAAATTGATTTGGTTTATTCACTTTGCTGTGTCTTATTCATTGCCGTAATTGTCTCAACCGAAAAATGTATCGACGTATTTACCGTCTTTTAGCTAGTTTCACAAAAATTACAAATTTAATATATCGCTTGTATCATTCTGTTGGTGTTCGAATGCAACAAGTTATTAACCTTTTCAGCAAATGATTTAAAGAGAGCTATATCCGATTATCTAAATAAATTAATACATTTGTGTTTTATTATTATTGTTTCACAAAAACAAATATTTTAATGTTTTAAAATAATCTTTCTAACAAAAGTTTTGTTTGTTTTCTAATAATAAATCAGTTGGGTCTATATAATCGCTTTTTTAAATATATTTTTGATAAATAAAACAATTTTGTGTTGTTTGTTTGTATGTACATATAGTTGTTTTTATCATTAAGTTTAAAATGTTTTAAACTATATTTAATTGTTTTATTATTATATAAATTTAAAGGTTTAAACTATCCGTTTTAATATGTGAAATTAAAAATTTTACTTGTAATATTTCTTTTTCATTAATTTTTATTTTGATAAGTTTATATAATAGATCAGACAATATAATTGGCAGTTTTTGCCACAATAATTTTTTGTCTTAGTCATGCCTCGGAGAAAATTGTTTTTCATAAAAAACTGAAGATACTGTTTTTTGCGGCAAAAAATCATTTTTGGTAAAGTCTTTTTTAAAAATACGCAAATAGACAGGACATTGGGTGATAATGAATTGTGATTCCAGAAGATTCAATAGTTTTTATCAAATTGTTTTTGATAAATTAACAATTTGTAAATACAGTAAAAAGTGTCTTTTTGTGGGTTTTTATATTTGTGGGTTACGTCTATTTGTGGATCAATAGACCAATCAAATGTAAAACCCACAAATAATTATTTTGATCGAGAACCTTGAATTTAGGTCCACTTAAATAAATAATATAGATTTATTATAATTCAAAAAAATTATAATATTTTCTATAACACTGTTTTTAATGGAAAAATGGTGAATAGAATTTACTTCACAATTCCATGATAAACCCACAAATATACGTTTTGTCTCTGTTTAAAAACCCACAAATAAACACTTTTTATTGTATTTATCCATTTTTTATATTATATTAGCAATATAAAAACAGAATTTAAATTAACAAAAACATAAAATTAACATTTAAATATTATTAACATTTTTTCTATTATTATTAACACACAAAAATATAATTAATTAACATAAAACTATTAAAAATATTTAAGATTTTTCTTGTCAAATTAACAGACTCATAATTGAATTTATTGAACAAAAAAATAAATTAACATTATACAATTATTTATTGAATATTCTTGTAAAATTAACACAGCGAAATTTTACATATTATTCAAAAACATTTTAATTTAACATTTTAATATCATAACAATT